GAGCAATAATCTGTGCTCGAAACGTCATCAGTTAATATTACTGTACAACTGTGTGATTTATTAAAATGAAATCTGATCAATAATGGAGCTACTTTCACCATATTTATAGACTTACGGCTTGGGATCATCATAAGTTTTGGGAGAAATTTCAAGACTGCGTAAGTGCAACTTTTTCATACCTCGAAATTTCACACATGCCTTGTCAATGTTCAGGTCTTACTACGCTAGACCTCACGCTGTCCCTGGAAGACTTTCAGAACCAATTTGTTTTAACCAACGCGAAAAACCAGAACACAGATTGGCGACTCGAGTATCATTTATTCTCACGCCAATATGTAGCCAAAAATGAGGTTATTTGTTGTAACTATTTGTAATCGTAGTATTAGTATTTCGAGATGACCGAATTACAAGAATCCAAACAAAACACAGAGAAGGCGGAATTCAGGAATTTTTAATTGGCGGAATTCTAATGCAATTCATATAAGAAATATTAACAATCAACAGTAAGTATTGAAACAATACAGAGATAGAAATAGTCAATCACCACATTATCATGCACAAGGTCTAAGAATAAATGTTATAACAATAAATCACGAAAATACTTCTGATAGTTTTTTATCTTCCATTGAACAGCGAACAGTGAGATGATGCCCGCCGTATTGATGACACCCGCGGAAAATATGGAGGAGTTGGGTTTGAGTAAACAACCATGAATTGATCGTTCAATCTTCAACTACTTTGACATGTCTCAGCTGTTGTCTTTGTTATTGGTACGATTTTAATGTCATTCTATACGGATGGCGCATTTTTTATGCAAATGTATATTATCATTCCGAGGAGTGCCCAGGTCCTACTCGTATATATATATAAAATATATTCCCAATGATGTATGATCCACAGTTGTGGTTAATAACATTTTTAGCCTCCCAGGACATTATTTGCTTCGTAAAATTGAGTTCAATCATGTGGCGGCATAGCACTCACTTAAATGTTCGCTGTTCACTGAATGACCATAACTATCACTAGGAAACGGAAATAAGTTTGGCTTGTCGCTCAACTTTGTCGATGACCTTAGCAAACGGCTTACAATTTAACATTGATACGAACCTGTTCTAATTGTTTGTATACTAAGAAGCCTTAATTTATGATACTTCACAATTGTAATTGATCGTGCCTTTAGAAATGGCATGCATTTCTTGTAAACTCCACTTTGTACACAATATAAGTTATTGGTATTATATATGTCGGACAGGGGATAATGTAGGATACCTGCACAGTTTTGAGAATAACGCAAGACATACCATCTGCATCCAGCTCACGAGAAAGATGTAGGGACTGGATACATTTAAGAACGTCATTTGTGCTGAAACCAATTAAGCAGCTTTTATTAATTGCTAATATATTTCGACATCTTATAAGTGTATGCACAAAATGTTTAATTTTTGTATGGGCAGTGAAGCACTCTTCAACATATAGGAAAGTTGCTTGCTTCTCTAACTACTCCTTTCTCGCCTTTTCATATTGTTGGAGTCCTCGGAGGTAGGTGAGTGGACACATGTTCGCCATTCAGAGCCAAATATAATTCCAGTTGACGGACGAGATGTTGAGCGGCCCAACTGCGAGAGTACCTTAAATAGTTTTTTCTCAACTCACCAAAGTTTGACATGCTGTCTCCACTTAATTTTGGTCTGAATTTCATGGCACTAATTTAGTTGGAGTTTGACTCAGTGAATGGAAACTAAATACACTCGATGGAAAACAGTAGACGTATCTCCGGGAAGTGAGTTAATTCACCTGACAAACTCAGCGTGGTGTTTTCTAAAATGAAACTGATATTGGGCATCCTCAACATAGTACGCCATAACCAGTCAGATCTAGTTAGTAATAAAGGAATCCAGAGGGGTGAGAATAACAAACAAGTAGGAATCAATGTACGAAATGGAAGTTCGCCAAATCAACTAAAGCTCAGCAATTAAGCCTTCAGTGATGAATTTGATTATCGGTCTGGACCGAAACATACTGAGGACAAGTGGCTTGTCAAGCAACCCGAAAGCTTTGTATTCGTGTAATTCGGTTTAACTGCTTTTAACATTAAGACACTTTCACGTGCACGTGTCTGGCTTTCATCTGCTTCGAGAATTCTTGACCATTCCATCACCTTTCTCTACGAATATCTGCCTTTAAGATGGTTTTTCCAGACTATTTATTTTGAAGGAGCTTTCATAGTTTTCGTCAAAACGTGGGCACGTGAGAGACGCTTTAAAAAGTCAAATCATCCGTTCAAATCAAAATTATATTTCAATAGCTTACACGCAGTGAATAGTTTTTTTATCGTAGTAATATTTTGAGCAACATAAAACAATTCTCATACTGTGTAAGACCTTGAAATACAATTACGACTTATGTGATAATGCACAAATTTTTCACTACTAAATCATCTAATTTATCATATATTTCACCTCTCTTATCTATGATATGCATTCGATGGCTGAGAGAACAGTTGAATGTCTGTATATATCTAGGTGTGTTAAAGGTGGATCAGAGTCTCTGTAAATGACTACACAGTCATGACTGGCCATTTCTGTTGCTGTGACCGCAATTAAAAGCATTCGCTCATGAGACCATAAAGATGTGGTATGCATGAACCAGAACTCATATTGTGCGGGGATCCTGTCAAAGGATACTGTACAAACTCACCAGTATTCTTGTTCTACGGTCATTTGCTGTCCGACTGTAGCTACCAACGAACTTCCTCATACATAAATTTCCTGTGGCAGGCGTAATCTGTAATTCCTTCTCAAATAAGCTGAAGAATTTGTCTATATGCACAAAATATAAGACACTAGATTCCATCAATATCGTACTCCTCCTATATTAGAAATGAGTTCACCAGCGTCTTCGATTTTTCGTTTTGATATTTGGTAAGGTGATAGATTGTTAAGGCCTTTGCCTGCCATCCTTGTAGGAAAGAGTGAGTGACCATTAGTTCAAAAGTTACAGTGAGCTGAAAATATGCTGAACGAGGCAACCAGGCACTCAACAATTAGATTCTGTAGAGACAGGATATCTTGCCTCAGGCTATTTCCACCAATTCTATGATTTCATTGTTCATTTCAGGGTAGGTCTTTCCTAACAACCACCGCTTATCTGGATTAATTCTGATGTTTACACATACCTGCAGAATTAGTGCGTCTTTCAGTTGACTTAGAGTCAGCTTCAAAATCGTTTCTTATTCCGCCATTCTCTGCAACTTTCAAGAAGATCCTGGAATTTCACTAAATGAAAAAAACTTTTCAAAGTTTCTGATAATCTACCTTATATCCAGGAAAGACGTGATGAACATAGTTAGGTTTCATTAGTAAGATGTAGTTCATTCATATGTATTTGGTTTCAGGTATTGACATAAATGATATTTTTCGCAAACGAGTTTTCTAACTCCCACTTCTGAAGCATTCTGTGTAGTCTGCTTCCTTGTTTGGGTTTCGTCACTGAGAAAATTATTCTACTCATGTTTATAAATAATGTAGAGTGCCGGTAATTAAGATTTACCCTTGCGTAGATCTCAAACATATTGGATCTAAGGACAAACAGCAATCCCTAATGTTTCAATTTTTCAAGGGATTTACCATAGCACTGCATTATTAGGTGACATCCAAACTCGTCTCTGACGCCGCCTTGGACTCCCTTGTCTCAAATTTCTGACTAGTATACAAATTCGTCCATTCGTCATTCAATCCCTTTTTCCTTGATTTCATACATTCACCCTGAATTCCATTATTATCGCGCTTCTCAACTTCACCAGAGGACAGAGGGGGGGGGGACAACTAGGTTGAAGCATAACAACACTACGCTGAATGCTGCAAATTACATAGAAACCAAGATCCCATACAAATCGCCTCCGGTTAAAGCAAAACAGATGAGTTAAGGATAGGCTTGACAGAAACTTAATGATCATTAAGAAACTTCACCTTACGAGTAAGAATATGGTTGAAAGAATAAATTTAAGTTCCCACAAACCTGTGAAAATGAAACTGGATAGTGGATGCTAAAGTTCATCTAAAGGAGTGGTTGGTCTCTGAAATAAACCATATGATGAAAGGCTGAAGAAATTAGGACTGTTCACACTTAGCTACCATAATCTTAGGGGGGATATAATTACTGTTTACAAAATAACAAATGATCAGAATCACACAAATAAAAGTGCCACTGAGTAGAAAGAAAAGAGGGATAGCTCACCAGACGACAAGGACCCGGGTGCGCTCCCACTTCTTTTCAATGCGGGTTTGCCGCCTCTGGAATTCCTTAGTGGCAGATGTAGGGATGGCACCGTCTTTGGACGCCTTTAGGCGAGGGTTGGATGACTATACGCGACACAAGGACTGCGTCCAAATGGCCTATCCCCTTAAAATCGCATACACCATTCAGGGGTAGACAATTAAACTCGTCGTTTTACTTTTTTACATCCTCTTTGGTCTTATTTTCCTGACATCTTTAACTACGCCTATTATTGTTATTATCATTATTACTGATATATATATAGTCCATATTATTCTTCAAATTTAGCTAGCTGACTGTTGTTGTGTTTTCTTATTCCCTTTTATAATAATAATAATAATAATGTATATTCTCATATAAACATATAAATTTACATAAATTTATATCTGTTAGTCTGAATAACTTCACTAATTATATCTATTATTATTACTATCTCTTTTCTTTTGACGACGATACCGAATGACTAACTGGTGAAAGGATCAACTCCATTCACTGTAGTAACAGTCTTAAAACACCTCGTAGTACAAACCACATATGGTTAATCCCAGCACTACTCCTTTTGGAGTCAACCAAAGTGGCGGGACGAGCTAAGCAGAAGTTTATCAAAGATAAGGAACCTATACCTCACAATGAAGAGGCAAGCACAAGGAAATCAAATTGGTTTATACTAGCTCGTAAAAACGATATTGGATATTGAATATTGGATACCTAGCAACGCTACGCCAAATATTCAAACCTCATAAAATGCCTGAGGTTACATGTATGAGGGCGGAAGACAATACTGTTGTATTCAATCAAACGAAGAAAGAGGTTTTCACCCTGAATCAACATTTTTCTGAAATATCAAGGCAACTTAAGTCTTCCTGGAAGGTCGTTGTGTAAGTAGAAGTAAAATATATTCCTTTGATTTTAACGATTACTAGAAATAAAGATGATATAACATATGAGCGTCTGAGCATTGTTAAGTTGTTTATCATCCCTGGAGCAACTGAAAAGTTCAGTGCTACAGAGTTCAATGCACTTAAAAAATACATTGAAAATGGTGGATCTGTACTTGTACTTATGGGTGAGAATGGTGAAACGAAGTACACTACAAATATTAATTTCTTGTTGGAGCAATTTGGAATCATGGTTAATAGTGGTGAGCAAGCTTAGCGAATTGTTTATGGTAGATACTGTTCTCCGAACATCATACTTTAAGTATTATCATCCGAAAGAGGCATTGATTCCAAATGGCATACTTAATAGGTACCTTTTAATCTATTCTTATTCAGTTTAAAGGGCCATAGCAGAGGCTGCGGGGAAATCCTTTGTGGTAAATACCCAGGAAGACGTTTCACACAAGCAGGCATTGCAGTTCTTGTATCCGTATGGTTCCACTTTGAACGTCGCCAAACCTGCCGTCGCCTTGCTTTCATCGGGTAGTGTCGCATTCCCGCTTAACAGACCGGTCCTTGCAACCTGCAAGTTTTCTGTAGGTTTTTCGCTTACAATGATTTTTTAGTCAGATAAAGGTGGGACGTTAGCAGTTGTTGGTAGTGCAGCTATGTTCACTGATGCTTACATAAACAAAGAGGACAATTTCAAAATATTTGAGTTTCTTTTCAAATATCTAACATCAGATTCAATAAAACTGAATTCTATAGACGCAGAAGACCCTGAAATTGAAACGTACTACCAGGTGCCTGATATTACTAGTCTGGCCAGCAGTTTAAAATCATGTTTGCAGGACAGTGATGAACTTCCACAAAACTCCAACAGCTATTTTGACCAGGGCTTGTTTTCCATGGATACAGGACTTGTGCCGAAAGCAATTCAGTAAGTTTTTATCTTTGTCGCTTTTTTATGAAAACTTGTGTTTTAAGAAAAAATTTATCTCACACATCTAATTATTGTAATTTCTATAAATCTGATTCATTGTTAGATGATTGGAAATGTATATTAACTTAAGCTCAACTCTGACTTTATGATGTAAGATTTTGTACTTTGATTAGACACTAGTAATTAGTGCAATGTGGCCATTCCTTCGATGCAGACTGAATTCTATCAGTCAGGTTTGCAATGTGACCACCATTCTATGTAGGTCGCCGTTTAACATCATTTCAAAATAAACCTAGGTCCAAGGCTTCCTGCCGATTGCCTAGGACCATCTGATATCATAAGATTTTGTACTCGCTTGCTTACTAAACACATAAGCATTCTCGGTCTTACTATTTGCATAGGTGCTACCGAATTCACTACCAGAGTTTTCTTGGAATTTATGTCGATACAGGATATAAACATGCCGCTACATTGTACGTATGTGATTTTTATCCTCTATCTGTTTTTTCTTTGAAGGGCATATGAGAAACTTCACGTCAAACATGAACCTCTTAGTTTGATTACACCTCAGTTTGAAACTCCTTTACCTCCGGTTCAACCTGCAGTAAGTTTTACGTCTACTTAACTAGTGTAACTTTTCCACTAAATGTTTCAAAACTGCCACTTTTCTTCTCTACTAACGATCTGACAGAAAATTTCCTTTCAAACGTAGAAGTGATCTCTGTTGTAAGTGAAATGAGTAACACAATATCATTTAGTATACACTTTCATGTGATTTCGGTGCAGACAGTGATTTAAGCAACGCATGAAGATTTTAATCGCATCTGTTGTTTGAGTCTTATGCCGAAGGATAAAAAATTGTAAAATTACTTAACTATTATTTAGGTATTTTTACACTGGTTTTAGGGAGGAGCAAACACATTGAGAATATTACCAGGTCTCATACTACTGTGTAACCACACAGGTGTTTTCTGCACCTGATAGAATTGCGGTTGTTTTTGTGGCTATTCCTACATATTTAGTGATGTTTTCATGAAATTCTCCAGACTGGCATTTACAGCTTAATAAACAACAAAATTTGAACAATCTTTCTCATGTTTTGTATTTGTTCGGAATTCATACTTTGATCTCAAACGTATTAAGCCCTTATGTTATTAAACAGTATTAACCACTGAGTTGTCAAAAATCAGCAAAGGAGTCAACATAACGACTATCATTATTGAGTTTATTGAAGAAGAAGAACTTAAGTTCAGTCATGGTAGTGTAATGGACTATTATTAGTTTTTAAGACGCAGGAAAAGTTTTCCTTTTCATTGATGGCTGCAAAAACAGCGTTTGGCATAACTTTGGCGATTATGTTGGAACCATGTAAGTTTGAGATAATTTTAGCTCAAACCAACCCTTTTCTATGTAAGGTTTCAATTTGCTTCTTTGGTACTTCAAAAACCAGTTTAACTAACTTTTTTGATTATTACGACAGCTGTTCTTCTGCCTAGTAGCACTTTGTATTTGTATGGAGTGTTCATTTATGCGTGTAACAGTCTCGACCAACTAAGCTACTAGAGATTCAACATTCACCACCAATACTTTTATTGTCATATTATGCTTTTGACTGTTTCATATACTAAAAAAATGATTTAATTTTGATTATAGTTTGATTCCACACCTTATTTTTGGTGCAAGTATGGAATTTTAAGATGTGATATCGGTAGCCCAAATTTTGCAGGCTGACTATTGATATCAGGTGTGCGTCGACGGAAGATCGAACTCCGGACCATGTGCATAGTCGGTAAGAGTCCTAACCGCTGTGCCACCGACGCACATGTGCAGAGAGGCTTCAGAAGTCCTACATATATATGTATATACATGGTAGCACTTGTTAACAATATTTTGTGGAATAAAGTACTCTTGTTAGCATATGAATCACACCCTGAACTAGGGTTATCGTTTGCAAATAACATTGTTCGAGACGGAAATCCAGCATGCTTTCCTTTGGAAACCAAAAGTATTCATAATATTCGGTCTGCTTTAAGTCAAATGTGACAGTCAGGAACACAAACTAGGTCACACGATGGTGTATATGAATTATTTCCAGATCTATTAGCCTCAACTACTCGTATCACCTAGTAACTTCTGGCAAATCACACTTTTCCTCGAAAGGTTGGAGTTTGAGTGAGCCATTAGAAAGTTAACCAAACCATAATCAGTGTGTTTAAAAATATTGAAGTACAAAGCTTCGTTCTGCAGGCTAAAATTTATTACGTTGAGGTGGAATGCATTTTTTAACGTAGAAATTCGCACAAAAATACAGCAGTTCAAGTTACTACACTTTGTGAAGCATATATTGAAACAAATAAAAGTGCGGATGAACTCAAATAAACGAGAATATTGGGAATAAAGAGTAATTACGTGAGGTATAATGAAAATTTAGTGGATTCGGGAGATCGCAGAGCATTAAGGAATTTGCTCTGTTATAAAGCATTTCAAGTCATAGCATTGACAGTACGAGGATCTAAATATTATATTAGGAACTGACATCGATCATCAACTTTACTGTGAACCAAGAAGACACTTATTTATCTATATCAAATTCATACTGCGTGAAGTATATCAAACATCAGGTAAAAGACAGGTATCTAGGAGTAATTCTTTTGCTCCTGCTAAATCGTTAAGGTCGCCAATCCAACGGACCGGATTTAAGTTCAATGGTCACGACAAAGTGATGAGTAAAGTACTAGTGCCGGCCTGTTTATTTACATGAAAGTTGTCAAACTTGTCTGTGTTAACGGTTGTCAAGAAAGTTGGTGACAAAGTAGTTTTCACCAGGACTTACAAATGTTTGTCGAAAAATTATTTTAAGAAACCTGAGCTTTCTTATCGACGTTTATGCGGCCTGCCTTAAATCTCACTGTCATTTCCTCAAATATTAAGTAAGTCACTGAAAAGCCCAAATAAAAAGAACATGGGATAATTTCGAGGATCTTAAGAGTTTGAAGTAAAAGTGTCAAAAAACTCAAGAATTTCCATGGAAACTTGAAAATTTGTTATTCGGGAATAGTCTACATATTTTGATGATAGGAGAAAATTTGTCTTCATTCTTGTTTTAAAAAAATTCGAAAGAATTATGTGTAGTTCACTTAAGTACAGCTTAAAATAGGATTCTATATATTTGTACGTTCTATTACCCAATATTATTTAAACTGGTGTTCTCTATTTTCAGTTTGTATAAAAATTAGTGTTTCTACTTGATACAGAAAATAAGACCTGTATGTGTCACACAAAATCGCACATACTTTTCGCATTTGTTTCCCAAACAGTCGCCGTATGTATCAAGCCTTAACAAAAATCACTCAAGAATAGTAAAAGCTATTTGATATTACTTTTATTCATTGAATAAAAACTGAAGTTATTTATGCTTTCCTACCTATCCTGGTTTTATTGCTGATAAGCAAATTTAGTTGATTTGTGTTCTGGTGGATAAACAAACCGATACTATCAAAGCAGGATATAATATTAATTTGTATTGTTTCAATTTGGCACATTTTTTTTATCTGCACATTGTGCAGAACATAGAAGGAAGGCAAAGTATTGGAATCAGTTTAATTCACAATCTTGCAATCTGCTACATATCTGACTGTCAACGAACATATGATGTCTTACTTGAGCCTTAAGTGTTGAAATCTAATGAGAGAAGAGGAAACTTTTTTCTATACGCCCTTTGGGATACACTAGCGATTAATATGCCAGGGATGATGTCATATACTAGACAAGAGGAATGGTCTACCCGTCTAACTTTTTCACTCCCTTTAGCCACTCAAGTTATTAAAGTGGAGATGCAATCCACACGAATCAAGTGACGGAAAGCAGTCTAAGTATTCTGAAATTTATGAAAATAAAGACTTCTATAGGTATATATATCATAAAGTTAAACAGAATTAAAAATACACTACGAAAATTGTTCTGCGTGAGCACCTGGTGAGTCAGTTCACTGTAGGCTTTATGTCAACTGCCATTGTTTATGTTAAGTAGCTTCCGTAAGGGGTTGTGCCTGTAAAGCATCCTTCTTTCCGAAAGACTCTTCAGAAAAATCACTTGATTGGCAAGGTAAAACATCATCTTTGGGTTAGGAAATACCATTAATGAAAAACTTCCAAGATGTGTTATTGTTTTAAAACTTGTTTGACATAGAGAGGTAAAGAGAGACGGTACCTAGTAAATACATCTAAACTCACTTTGATGGGATCTGCTATTCTCAAAACTCAACTGAGCGCCGTGTGCATATGAAATTTAGGCTTGTGGAAATTACAACGGTCAAACTAACTCCTCCATGTTTGTCGAAAGCAAATTATTCTTCTCTCTTGAAAAGTAATATATCTAGAGATTAAGACTGACCACAAAGAATCATGTCTGGTTTACGTACGTTGCTTCAGAACCATGTCTATTCTGTTAATCTTTAATTATTCTAGAAGTAGCACTTCGTGCACTGAGCTCTTAAATGCTTAAGGTTTTTCCTGGTTTCCTTAGTTGGGGGTCTTATTTCAATAATTGTTCACTTACAGCAGTTGTGTTGGTGGTTCAAGGGTAGAGTTTTTACCGACCACGCACGTAGTTCTTGTTTGATTTCCGGTCACCCCACCCCCAAACAAAACCTAAGACTGGGGAAGGGGAAAGGTTGGACTTCACGCTAGCAACAGCGCCGTTTAAGAAAGTCATTGCTATTGAAACTTTGAAGCTGGGACCTCAAGTTTTGAAAATGAAATTCACTTGCACCTGGATAGATGTGTTACATATGTCGCATGAGATGTTAAGAACTAATGTTTCGTCAACCTTATTGAAATCTTTTGAAACTCTTCACTCTCTGTCGTCTTGATTTAGTTTTTCCTTTCGTCACACTTGTGTTTAACTGCTCGACTGTCATTATTTTGGTGCTATGTTTTGCGGGATTCGTCAAAGTGTGGCAGCTCAGACTGATTTACTTCTGCGTCAAGTTCCATTTTGATTCTCCAAACATCCAGTCATTTATAAGAGTGTATGCAGAGTAATCAAACGTCCCCTATCGGGAACTAAAGCAGTAGTAGTCAATAAAAGAAAACATTATCTTGGTATCCAGAAGAGATGTATCCAGTCGCTTTCTTCATCTTGATCAGCGATAAAGTCAAGGTATCCTCCACAATCAAAGATGATTAACACCCAAAATTCTTTCCTTTCCTCCTAGGTTTCACTGAGAAGTCTATATTTCGGACATTCAGGATTTCATAGCCTTTCTCATTATGTTGGTCACCATTAGATATCGCTGTAGGTTTTTCGTATCATCTCTCATATTGACTGTTGTATTCAAACAAACCATTTCTACTAACCATATCAAAATTTTCACCAGTTGATAATCTTGTGCCGGTATTACTATTGTGTCTAGATGATACTACCAGCACCATTATTATAATATCCTTATCATCATTATTTATCACTCCTTAAACTTACATCTAGAGTATTCCATTTCTTTGTCTATCTCTTTGTAGCATTCACATATTCCTTCATACTAAACAGAACCCACCCTTCAAAAACTAGACTTTTGTGTCTTATGATTTCACAAAAACATTATTCAATTATATATGTCCAAACCAAGTTCACTCCTAACAGTTTGAAAAAATTTGGGCATTAAGCATATGATATTCATTATAATAAAGGTTTTCTTGTATTTTCCAATGAATGAAATAAAACGAAATTGTTTAACTGGCGGTTCGCTATTCAATGCTAATAGCTTTATCAAGGTATTATTAAACCAAAATTTACAAAATCTCAGCATATATATAACAACTTAATTATCGTTCCTCAATATGGGGTCATTTTTCGTTGTCAAGTCGGTCAATTGAATTGGTAAAGATAACAAAACCAAGTGTAGATTGTTAGATGTGATCAGTGTTTAAAATTAAAAAAGTAGTGTGTGTTTACATAGTGAAATTGCTTATCATATTCGTGTTGATTTTGTCACTTCATGGGGGAGGGAGGTGTCGTAATCAGGTCAAATTCTGTTTCAGTTCATCATTCCTATTCAGACAATTTGGATTCCATTTAATATGAAGTGCTCATGATATTAGACGTTCTTTGTGATTTCTGAAATTTTTCTGTAGTATTTCAATATTGTCAAAATCAATTTTGTGGCCTGATTCTATAGTGTGTAGACCTATGGCTGATGATTTTTCAAGCTTTTCTAGTCCAACCGGATTTCTCGGTGGTCGAACAGATGGTCTACGGTGTTCATTTCTTCTGATTTCGATTTCTCGAGATGTTTGTCCGATGTATATCGCATCACATTCCAAGCATTTTATTTTACAGACACAATTAGATAGAAAATCTTTTGGGATTTGGTCTTTTATATGTACAAGGTTGTTTCGCAGTGTATCTGATGTATTGAAGAAAACTCTGGTGTCGAGCTCATTGAGTACTCTTCTGATGTCTCCGCTCTATATGGAATGACGACTGTTGAGGTCCATGTTTTCGGAATACGCTTTCGACCATACTTAATGTCAGTGTTGATTTTGTCGATGAAGTTTGTTAAGTAGTTGTTTTGCTTGAGAGTTTCAGTGATGTTTGATATTTCTTCTTCTTTTTCTTTCTCATCCGTTATCAGAGAGTGTGCTCATTTAACAAGACTTGAAACAACTGATACATTTGCGCTGATGGGGTGTGATGATCCGAAATCTAAATATTTGTTGGAGTGGGTTTTTTCTTCCTGAATATAGATATACTAAAATGTCCGTTTCCCCTCCTCGTAACTAGGCAGTCTAGAAATGGTAGTTCACCGACGTCTCATTCTACTTCCGAAGTAAAGTGGATGCTGGCAGATAGACTGTTTATTTTTTCCAGGAATGAACTGTGTGGATCTCGTTTTAGCACTACAAAAGCATCATCTACATATCTTAGCCATATTTTAGGAGTGAGTATGCTTGAAGAGATGGTATCTTCGAATCTATTCATGAAAAGGTCAGCGACTATTAAAGTGACTGGTGAACTCATAGCAACACAATTTGTCTGTCTATATAAATTCCCTTTAAATGTAAGATAATTACTTTCTAGACAGAATTTCAAGCTCTTAATTATTTCACTGGTGTCTAGTGGACATCTTTGTAAAAGCGTTTTATCTGATTCTAGTAGACTGGAAATGATATCAAGACTTTCGGTAATAGGGATACTAGTATATAATGAGTTAATATCATATCTTACCATAATGTCTTTATCAATTTCTCAGTGTTTTATTTGGAATTTGACATCATATGAATTTTTTACAATATTTTGAGCGAAACGTCAGTAAAAACAATTTCGGTTTGTTTTTCATTCATTGGAAAATACAAGAAAACCTTTATTATAATGAACGTTAATCAACTGTTTTTTCTCCTTGTTTTATGTTCTTATTAATTAAGCGTTTTATCTGCATGCAAATGATAATTGAGACTGACTATTGCTATTTCTTATTTCGCATACGTAAATATTATTTCCAATTTAATTTGCCTTCACTGTACTCTGACACTAATGGATTCATGACTGTTAAGTCTAAGGAGGAATTTATTCAAAATACTTATGCATTCTAGCTATTCTTGTTCTGAACAGAGTGATTTATTTAGTGCAGAGAAATCTACTTCTAGATGATAAGATACATCCAGATGACGAGCCTCAAATAGGACGAAATGCGCATCCTGCATTCCACTGCTAGTCACCATCCACCATTTAAATTCTAATTACATGCCCAGATATCGTCGAAGCATCTGCACAAGAAGCCAACATGTCAACCTGTGGTCCAATCAATCGATGGGAAAATCTCAAATTCAATTAAATATCTTAATCAAACATTATAAAAATATTTGAAAATCATCAATTATTATTCTGACAATTAAATTTGTAAAGGTTAAACGTCGTGAACAACTTTTTGATGGACATTTTCCCAGTCATATAAGACAAATCAAATCGTTATATTTTATATTGCGGTAAAGGTTTAGACAGTAAATTAATAAAGTTTACTTGTTTATTCTCAACTATATATTAGTGGAACTTTTATCAATAAGTGATTGAAGGGGTATGAAGCTGTTCTTTATCGTGAACCTACTTCCGTAATCAAACTTATTTTTTCCTTATATCACTCAGTTATCTTCTGAATATCGTTTTCTTTCGTTAGGTATTTCCCCCAAATTTTCGTGAACCTGGGCCACCTGCATTGGAATTATTCGATCTAGATGAACAGTTTTCTACAGCTAAAGCACGCTTAGCCCAAGTAACAAACAAATGTGAGTTCGTACCAACAAGGATTTAAATTCTGTCTTACATTTGAGATGTTTATAGCATAATCGTAGATGGATGAGTCAAGGAAGTGATCGGGAACAACACTTTTGGGGCAAGTATAATTAGCCTAGAAGAGAAAAAATATTCCATATGATTCATCCTACAAAACTGAGTGTTTATTGGGCAATTTTGATTATAATCATGACACAGATTACTTAACAAATATATAATTTTCTAGGAATAGTTAACATTGGTTGTAGAAGATTTAGAATCACTGCAATGATTAGACAGAATTCTCACTGAATGACCTACTTTTTATACGTAATATCACTTAGTGGATTCTGTAATTATACAGGTTGCATTTGTAAATGTTCAGAACAATTTAAAGCTACATTTATTTGTACACAGATGGTCAATAGCTAGTTACTTAAGTGCTAATTAGATTTCAGTTTTATTTCAAACGCTAGCTCTTCTGGCCTCATCTCGTTTTAGTTTGTGGTAAATAAAAAAAGATGGTAACACAGCATTTGTTCTAAACATTGACTGACACTTTTAAGCATGTGAAAATGTTATCCTATAACTGCGTGCATTTCGTCAGTTTAACACAGGTCTAAGTAATCAGCTGTTCAGTATATTAATTCACGCCATATTTTATTTATATTTATGCTTCTATGAAGACAGGCATCAGTGAAAACCTCTAATAAAACAGTCTGTGGATATCTGTAAACGAAACATGTTTATGCAGAAATATGCGCTTTTTGCATAAAGTGTTCAAATACTTTTCATTGTGTCAGTAATACCTTACTTATCTAGTCTGACACACGAGTATAACACCAAATGATCAACATGAAAACCAAAAGTAATTTAGTCCAGCACCAGTAGAAGAAAATTCACTAAAAGGGTGAGTTAATCAACAAAGTTATTAATATCCACCACATGCAGTAGCTGACGGCTGGAATACGCTGCTAACAGTAGGATAAAGTAGACAATATCCATCCTAGAGGGCCAGTAAGTCATACCAGCCAAAATCAGCATGCGAAATTTTCTGTTGATCTAACTTATGTAACAAAATGAAGATACGAGACAGCCAAGGAAAATAGTGATTGAAATCTTCAAAGAGTATGTCTTTTAATCAGCCAATGCTGATGAGGCTTCTTCATATACATCGTCTTCTTTGTAAAATATTTCGTAATTTCATGCCTTTTAAATCACATTTCATACTGTTTAAATGCATTTCTCTGCGTAAGGGTCTAGTGTACCAGTCTGTCATTCTTCTAAGAGTAACTTTTACCATTATGTTGAAATCATATTGGTAATAAATAAATTCAAAATCAGCCACCGTTCTGTGAGGTTCACATGGGAATCTGAAATTAACATTGAGTTTCATTTTTTGGGTGCTTTGTTGAAAAGGAGGTTTGACGGTCCACATCAGTCTACTGGAAACAGGCGTGGAATGATCAATACATGAACTTTCATATTTGGGTCTCTTTGAGGTGAAAGAGGAACCAGGTACACCCATTGTTTTAAAGAATAATAAGGATTTATAGCAGTGATATGGCTGATGATACACTGAAATGAACAAGTCAAGTCTTCATTGAGTAAATATATATCCTACAAAATTAATTAAGAAAAATATGAAAGTAAAGTCGAAGTCTGAAGGAATTCAAACGATTCCGAAGAAATGGCTATTTATGAGTGTTGAATTTAACGGTGATACTGTGGCTGGCCCCTGAAGAACCGCTTATTCAGATTGTAGAGAAAAGCATTTTTTTCGACTGAGCTACAGATCAATTTTTACAATTGTCAAGTGATCAGTGGAAGTGTGTAAGACAAACCACCACTTTGAAACACTTCAGTATATGTTTATAAGACCACTTGTTCCTGTGCAGCTAGTTTACTAGATTCACAAAGCCCACATCTTTTGAACATATGTCTGAACATTATCCGGCATGGTTATCAAGAAAACAGTGCGCTACAGTTAGTAGCTCACTTTTTGACCACCTAGTTTTGAACTCAGTTCACTCAACTCCACTGGAGTCCTGTTTTTTTTAAATTATCCACAAGAGAAGACCGAAGAATACAAAGAGTGTTATCTTTCTATACGTGTGTATGATGAAGGAGTTATACATTTGTCGTCGAATGGTCTTTCATTTAGTTTAATTTGTTGTTAACTGGAATACCGAAGACCAGATAATATGGAGTCTTTTTGTGCTAATATTTCTCTGACATCTAATTTCTCCTAATCTTTTGTTTATTATTTTGCTGGTTAACTTGTTTCAGGTTACTCGCTTGTTTTCTTACCTTAACTATGAATTTAGGCAATGAAGAAGATTTAGAGTATTATATTCATGAATGTGGAGATATTCTAGGAGTATCGCAAAAATTACCAACAGATAAGCAAACATCACGTGTCATTTTAGAAGTAATCTTCAATGAGTTGGTTGAATTCAAAAAACTTAATCAAGTAAGCTGTTTTGTAATCATTCTGTCATAAACTGTAATTTTGCTCTGATAAATTAATGGGATCAAGTTTTATGAAGCAGTCAGTGAAAATGCTTACATTCACCCATGGAAATTCAAGATAATTATGCTTAAGTTCATTTCAGTTAGATATTCTTTGTTTTTTTCAAGTTGCTGATGGAATTACTAGTAGCTATTCATTTATCAAGGAAACCTTTATATTCACTGTTTCCAGCTGTTTAGGATTTATTTTATATAATTTGAGAAGACCAGGGATGTTGCTAAGGAATAGAAATGGAATTTTTATTCTGATTAATCATTTCCAATGCATGTCTGTGCGTGCATTGTAGAAGTAGTAGCAACATTCAAATATTTCGAAGAGCTACATTAGGGAAATTTACAATATTCACACTGAGCTATTAAAATGAATAAAATTTATTCATGAAAAGTAAATCACACTCTCAAGTTCTGCGATCAATCTTCGAGATTAGTCAAAACTCTACATGTAGGATAGGTGAACATCAAAAAATTACTTTTCGAGAAGTCTGAAGGGGTAGAAATCGATTTATGAAATGCTGTAAATGATTACTCATTAAAAAATGTTATATTTCAGAGTAAAACCATTCATCCTATCCTTTGATAAACAAAAATAAATCGGTAAATACAGAATCTTCTTTAAGCGTTTTAATTTTTAGATTCATATAGAATAATGTTTGAATAATGAGAGACATTTTCAGATTCGCTCACTTTCACGAAAACAGTTTCAACTGACTTTCTAACGTTATTTCGTGGTTGGTGAATAGTTGTGGAATCCAGGATGAGCATTTCGTCCTATTTGGGGCCCATCGGCTGCATGTACCTGAAGTTTCCAGTGAGTGGTGGTATTCTCACTGAAAAGTCCCTGATAGAAAGAAATGCACATTCTGGATCATCATCGTCGAAGCATCCTTTCCAAGGAGCCGACATGTCAACAGCAGCGGAATATTTCGGCCCAATCAGTTAGCGGGAAAAATACAATTGACCTTAAAAATGATTCTTATAATTTCATTTGCAAGTAATCAGTACTGTTGGTGTATTTCGTTTACTCGAAAATTAAGTAGTCAAATTTCGTATAGAATAAATAAATGCGTAAATGTTAATATATATATATATATATATATATATATATATATATATATATATATATATATATGTCGTGTTATTAAACGGAAACTAGTGTAGATGCATGTCACACACATCATCGTAGTCACAGAATTATTGAAAAAGCAACTGTAATACCTAACGAAACATTTTTAATGAGTCTATTTCAACTCATTTACGATATAGTGAATTGACACCTTTGACTCTCGGTGTAGACATTTCCTGTGAATTCAATTCCAAAACCTATTAGCTCAAATATTTTTATGTTCTCCTCTAGTTTATTAATGGAATAAGTTGTATGAGATTTTTCTAACATTCATGTGACAGTATTATAAGTCCTCCAACTTATTTGTACTTATTTCGAAAGACAAGACGAGATTTGTATTTCCAAATTCATGTTACTAGACTGGTACAATTAGCTAATCAAGGATCGTTCACAAATAATCGAATGCAGAACTCAGCCGAATAGTTATGGTGCCTTCGGCTCTCCGCGAAGGTCAGCACGAAATATCGAATGTTGTTGTAGTGCTGTAAGTGCTACATATAATCAGATATAAGTAGTATATCAGTAAACGAATTCAGAAAAGTAACAGTATGTTTTGGGCACTGAAAAAAGCAATCGATTACCAATTTCACATTGAGACCGACCACAAACCTTTTCAGTGGTTGAAAACAGCAAGGGATCCATAAGGGAAATTGTCACGATGGATGTTACGTCCATAAGACTTCACGATTGGACATATTCCAGAAAAATGTAATAGCCGACTACTTTTTGGGACCAGATAACGAGGCTGAACTACCAGAAGTAGCATATGCAGTGAACGCTTCCGAGCAAGATCTCTTACAACTTGTTCACTGCCAGAAGTCGAACCCTACTCTTAAGGCAGTCATCCAGATGATAAGTGAATGAAAAGAATTCGAGACGACAGCAGAGAATAGAGAGTCAAAGGTACTACTGAATCACAAACATAGACTCAAAACTGAACACTCCCGGTGTCCTAACTTGGCAAGATAATGATGTTAGCTAGGTTACGGTAATGCCGAAGAGCCTTCATCGTGAGGTAATTTAAGAATGCCACCAACTAGCCTATAGAGGCGTTGCATGAACATATGACCTAGTGAGCCAAAGTGCGTACTGGCCAAATATGAGAAGCGATATTGCAAACTACATACTCGCTAGCCCGCAGTGCCAATTGATGAAGGGTGATCAGTGCATTCGACCACCGCTACAAACGATTCCCGTAATATCAGTCGGTGACTTGTGGTCAGTCGACATAATGGGCCCTTTCCCTTAAACATCCAATGGAAATCAATACAATACAGAGCACGCCATGCAGCGGTAAACGCCGTGGAGATTTCAGGTCAGCACTCCAAGACCGGGCAGTAATTCGATATATCGTGACAGATCATGGTGTACCAAAGGTGATATTGGCACATCAAGGTCCCTGTTTTGAGAGTGAGGACTTCAAGACTCGTCTGAATGCATTGGGTGTTAGAAGAATTAGAGTGATGCCGTATCATCTTTAGGCAAATGGCCTAACAGAGAGGAATAATCGTACACTCAAGGAGTGGCTAGCTGCGAAGAGAGGCAACTGGGGAACTGACCTACGTCGGTATTACTGGCATATCGTGCCACAATGCAGGGGACAACAAAAAAATCGTCCTTTCAGCTGATGTTAAAGAGGAAACCACGCTTGTGGTGCACCAAAAGACTTGGCCACAACAACAACATTCGAACAGTAAGAGATAGACAAGTGACCGGAAACAGGCTATTCAGAATATAAAAGAGAAGCGAAAGACAAATCGAGAAAGTCGGTGAGAAACAAATCACAGATTGGAAGCCGTTTGGAACAGGTGACCAGGTGAAATGTAGAAAACGGAACCATACTACGGAGGTGGGCCAGGATCAGGGAACCTTCTCCTAAGATGAAACGGACCATATGTAGTCACATAGCGAAGTGGTCCAGTGTACACAATAAAGGGAGGAAATATAGGAAAAAGAGCAAATACCAGTCTGCTGCAAAGATGGATACAAGAATGTCAAGACGAGAAACATAGGGATGGAACCTCCGTTCACCGGTCGAGGCGGTTACAGGAAAGACGTTATGATGAGAATGGGAGTGGGTTGACCACCACTTATAAGTAGCATATCAGTAAACATATTCATATAGGTAACAATAATTTTTGGGTACTGGAAAATTCAGTCGAAGAGGAGAACTGTGAGAATAATGTAACAACACTGTGCTGAATCCAACAAGCTATCGAATGTGGTGGTATTCCACCAATTTTCTAGTGATGCGCAAATATAGATAAGGTGTACCAAATTTATCAACCTACAATGCGTTTGTCCTAATAAACACTGCTTTCGAGCCTCACCAGTATTTTCGTCTGTACTGTAGGAGTAGATTTACGGAAACACTTTACTGCTTTTAGTACTATAGATTTGATGAGATTTTTTGCAGTTTTTAGGTACAAAGTTTAGGCTATAAAAACATCCAGTATAATCAATTTGAAATTAACTGTAGTATTTGCTACTTCTGCGAATAAGTAGTTTCTATTGAATGCATTTCATTTGCTTGTGTTTCATTTTACCTTCAAGATATTTGATATGAGACTTAAGAGTTCGTGTTTTCATGCAGATATCTGAAGGATGGTGTAACCCTCGCAGAGTATATATATATATATAATTCTGGAATTATCGTCATTAACAATATTGGTGTTTTTAAATACTATCGACTTTTTAAGATCAATGAAATTACAGTTCAAGAAATAACAATAAGCATAAAAATGTAATAGGAAATAGAATATCAAGTAAACTTAAGGATAATTCGATAACAAATTGAAGACTATTAAAACCTTGTTGGCCCAGGTAAGGACAGTGTCTGAACCAATTTCTTCTGGATGGATAAGTTAGCTTTCTTAATGTAGATCCCAACAGCCACAATCTCACTTCTTGTGGAATCAACATGAGATTGTTTTTACAATGGTATGGTGATTACCATTAAGAATACAAACCTCGAGAAAGATATCAATGAGGTCGGCTGCTCTATTTGTGATAAATATATTGCGTATTGACAGTTAAAACCCTTCCTTAAGCATCTACATTCAAATACAATAGTTCTGCAAGCTTTTAAATATAAGTAAAAAACTTGGGCACTGTGGTACAGTGTAATTCCGTTATGGGTAAAATTTATTTTGATAATGTCTCAGAGTGTCGTATAGCAATATTTACTGTATAACACTGCGAGGCTTTATGCACCCACAAACAACGCAGACCTCGAAAAGAAACAATAATTCTACAGACAACTACAGGCAGCAATGGTGACATCAAAATACTAATGGGAGACATGAACGCCAAACTGGGACCAGACAACACAGGAAGAGAACTCATCATGGGTAGAGAAGCTCTCGGAGAAATGTATGAAAATGGAGAACTCTTTGCCGACTTCTGAGCCTCCAATGGACTGGTGATTGGTGGCAGCGTATACAAACACAAAGATATCCACAAGGCTACATGGGTGTCACCAGATGGGCGAACCAAAAACCAAATCGACTTCATCTCAATCTCAAGGAAGTGGAGGCGCAGCCTACTAGACACAAAAGAGAGAAGAGAAGCAGATGTTGGCTCAGACCACTATCTCGTACAAGGCATAATCCAAATCAAATTAAAAGCTTTCAGAGAAGGAGGAGCTGCAGACAGACCACAAGCCATGTTCAACACTCAAAAACTGAAGGACCAGGCTACAAAAGACATCTTCACTGCAAGCATAAAGGACAAAACCGAGACGCAAATCAACACTAGCGAAGAGGTCGGCGTCGAAAAGCACTGGGACAACTTGGAAACGGTGTGGAGTCAAACCTGCATGGAAGTTCTAGGCAGAAAGAAGAGACAGGACAAACAGTGGCTCACTGAGGACACTTGGAAACTAATAGAAGAGAGAAGGATAGTGAAACAAAAGATTATCCAGTGCACCGACGAGCAACCAGAACAGGAGTTGAATGCGAGCTGCAATACCCTGGACAAAAGAGTGAAGAAGAGTGCCATGGAAGACAAAAGAAAGTATTATGAAACCATGGAAAGTAAGGCAGAACAAGCTGCAGGCAGAGGAGACCTCGCCACATTCTACCAAACAACTAGGAACCTATCGGGCAATAGTTCGACACAGATTAAGCCAGTAAAAGATGACAATGGAAAGTCAATCACCAAAGAGGTGGAGAAAAAAACACTGGACTGAACACTTCAAAAGACTTCTAAATCGACTGCCACCTACAACGCGCCCAACAATACCAACAACGGAAGCAGAACTACCGGTGAACATCGGCCCCCCGACGAAATCAGAAGTCCTGAATGCCATCAAGATGCTAAAAGCTGGAGAAGCAGCAGGACTAGATGGAATCCCAGCAGAAGCATTGAAAATGGACCCAGAGACAACAGCGGACTTGGTGACGCCTTTACTGGAGAAGGTATGGAAAGAGGGCAAAGTACCCGAGGATTGGAAGAAAGGATACTTATTCAGACTACCAAAGAAAGGAGACTTAAGTCAATGCAAAAACTGGCGCGGAATTATACCCCTATTCATCCCAAGCAAAATTCTAAGCCGCATCATCCTGGAGAGAATCAAACAAGCCGTGGATGCAGGAACAGGGCGGATTCAGGAGAAACAAATCATGTATTGATCAAATCGCCACTCCACGGATCATCATTGAACAAAGCTTGGAATGGCAGTCACCTCTCTATCTCAACTTCATCGACTTTGAAAAGGCCTTCGACAGAGTCGATCGAGTGGTCATTTGGCAACTACTTCGCTACTACGGGGTCCCATCGACAATTATCATCTCATCCAACAGTTATACGACAATGCTGCATGCCAAGTAATCCACAACGGGAAACTTACGGAAGCCTTCGAAGTGAGGACGGGAGTGAGGCAAGGCTGTCTTTTATCGCCAATGATCTTCCTGATTGCAGTAGATTGGATAATGCGACAGATAGAGAACGGGCAATGAGGAAACAGGCATAAAATGGACTCACACACAAAACTTGGAGGATCTGGACTTCGCCCATGATGATATATGTCTGATTTCCCACAAACTGGAAGATATGCAAGTGAAAAGCAACAAGTTGGCAGAAGAAGCATCCAGAGAAGATAGGACTTCACGTGAACATGAATAAAACAGAGGTGTTGAAAATTCCTGGCTAACAGCAACAACAATCAGCCAGCGTAAATGGGAGGAACCTGAAAGAAACAATCTCCTTCACCTACCTGGGAAGCATCGTTTCAACTACAGGCGAACGGGGCTGACGAGGATATCAAAGCCAGAATCGGAAAATAAAGACAAGCTTTCATTACTCTTAAGTCTGTGTGGAGATCAACAGCACTCAGAATCAAACATAAGATCCGGATTTTCAACTCCAATGTAAAGTCAGTGGTACTATACGGATCAGAGACTTGGCGAGTCATAAAGAGCATCTCAAACAAACTTCAAAGCTTCATTAACAGTTGTCTTCGCTTGAAACAAGCCCTCGAGTGGAACCCGAAAGGGAAGCAGTGAGTTGGTCGTCCAAGGGTGTCTTGGAGGAGGTCATGTGAAGAGGAGATGAAGGCGTGCGGGCAGAGTTGGACCGGGGTGAAAAAGTTGGCAGAGAAGCGAATGCAATGGAGACGTGCGGCTGAGGTCCTATGTTCCTCTAGGAATTAAAGGACATAATAATACGAAGAAGAACTGGGGGACTTTGTCAAAATAAATTTTATCCATAATGGAATTACACTGTTATTTCAATTTGCATGCATTTCAGTAGTGTTGCATATTCAAAACCGACGGTCTTCGTGCCAGTTTGTATACACTACATTAAGTACTGCATATTTCACTTATTTTTAAGGAATTTCGTTCGTTTGAAAGAGACATTATACACTTTTCTTGAAGTGATGAATTTCAAATGTCAGTGTAGGCTTACAGGCAATTGTACGAAATTCGTTAGTCCTCTATCGTTCATATGTACGCAGTTAACCTAGAAGAAGTTTGTCCATCACAGTGCATTCATTCGCATGTAATCACATGATGGGGTGGGGCAGGGCAAAAGCACTTAAAAGTAATTTGGTTAGTGAGAAGCAGAAAGAGTTCAATCACTGAACTTTTGCTCAACAAATAGACGCCGAACGCGTGCAGTCGAAATGAGGCAACACCCAAACCGGAGATGTGAAGGGTGTACAACAAAGTTTTTCATTCAGTTACTAATAGTTCACCACTGTGTGTTGTATCAAATAAATTTATCTAATATGTAATTCTACCACAGTGCCCAAGTTCTACACTTAAAATTATAAATTTTATTGAATTGTATATTATTCATTTAGCTTCTGTTCACTGCGTTGACTATTTTACTTATTTCCGTTCATAGGGAATTGATGAAACTGGTGATTGGTAAGATAAGCATAATTGCTAAGTCAACTGGACGTTGGGCGTTTGTTCAAATTCGACACAACAATGATAATCAACTGTTGTTTATCGAGAGGGTTGGTCTAATGGATATCTTCCAGTCGCTTTATGTGTAGCCTATAATTATGTATATTGTCTTTCTTTAACGAACGCCTTTGTTGTAATCTCACATGTTCCAATTTTGTTTTCGTTTTTTTTTGTAAAAAGTTTTGTGATTATTTTTCATCTCACTAATCCAATCACATAATGAACATAAGCTGTGGTAAGTGAAACAAATATAAATCTTATGAAAAGTTTGCTAAACTCTTGTCGATTCAGAATTCATTGGGATTTGTATTGGAATTCGCATCGTACGATGTTCGCAAGTTATCTATCATTTAGGTGTCTACCGGACTTACACTCAAATAACTTTCTTAATAACTCACGATATTTTCACGACGTGTTTTCAAATCTATTTGAAAAGTTGGAATTCAAATTTCTGTGGAAAGGTGATTAGTCTACTTTACCCTGGAATCTACCTCTATTTTGCTGCAAAGGTGTTTGATCAAAGTATTCGTTCTCTTCAGTCAGTTTGACAAACAGGAATAACACAGCTAGTTAAGTTTGGTTATGGAAAGGGCTGTATTGCAAATTATATTGCTGCATAAGACTCATCGTAATGTATACGTAAATCATAACTCATTTATACAAAAACTGGGTTTAGGAGATAACCAACACTTCTCAAATAAAGCGAATTTCAATATTTGAGCTGTTGAATATCTTCCTTAAAAAAAAAACGAAAAAAACCCTTAGCTCTTTCTAGTTCACTTGTTTTTTGGCAAACAGACACTGCGAATTTGAGGAAGTTAAGCTACTGAAGTCGTTTAGTTAAGTCAATAGTGAAGGATATTACTGTTTTGCGTCCTGGGTGGTGATAATGATGAGCAGCAAGCATGAAGTCTGGGTCAGTCAATGACTACTAATGCTAATTCACTGGAGACGCATATAATAAGCACTGACATTCTTGTAGAGTGATTTGACAAATCTCAGCCATCATCGATGCCTGAGATATGCTTTAAACACAATACAGCTTTATCCCTTGAGTTTAAAGAAATAACCAAGCATAACTACAACACAAAAAAACACCTACAAACCTATAGAGTCGTGCTTATTTCATAAAGTGAGTCATGCAGATTGGTAAATGTAAAGTGACATCTTAGAAAGTTGAAGTCTTATAACAATGCACACAGTATTCTGAATATATCCAGGACACAAATTTTATCCATATACAAGTTGTATTGATTAAAATACAATCCCTATATGAATATTCATGACCGTATTTGACAGTGCTTGATATCAGTTAACTTTTATAAATTTCAAGGTCCATATACAATAGGAAGCGAATATGCGACATGGTTCACATGCACTGTACAAACAATAAGGGTATCCCTATAGAGCCATTGCTTAAGACGAAATGCACATAGCAGAACTGTTATTTTAAGGTGTAATAGCGGAATACAGTTTGGATAACGAGGTGAACTTTACACACTAATAAAAGCTCAGGCAATTTAAATAATTAAAAACTTATTGGGAAGTATCGTGACAGGTGGAAAAAACCCTTAACAAAACTCAGTTTTGCAATATCTCTCCCCAATCAATATTTACTGGGGTACCAACGGGACTTCTTATAATTAAACAGTTAATTTATCTAGCTATCTCAAACAGAACAAGTCTTTAACTTAACTACTATAATGTATTTACTGTGAATGACTACTCATTTAGAAGAATACAGTGGTTATTGAGCTCAATTCTAATTTTATTACACTATAGTAGTTTATGTGACGGAATATGAACCTTTCTTCATGAAACAGAAGCAGACTAATAATCGTTTACTGTGGCTGTTAAAAACCGACGCATTCCATTTTATGGCAAATTATACATCTAAGATATAACTATACTATCTTTTAACAAAAAAATCTCTGTTCACAAATGTACCTGCTAACTGAAATGGTTAGTTACGTCTTATCTTAAATTTACAGATCAACAAATATTGGGATCCCAGTAGGAATCCTTAAAGAGGTGTTATTAAAGGGTACTATGAATGTGAATTTAAATTTGCTAGTGAACTCAATAGACAAGTAGATGGGGTGACAATGAGCTCCCGTGTTAGCCCATTTCTTTCTAAATAAATAAGAAAATTCTCTTTTCAACAACTTTATCAGAAAAATTTCATCATTTCTAAAAATGAATCGGACAAGAACACTGTTATGTACTAGTTTTCCCCGTCGCCAAATTGTTATGTACTCGTCGCTAAATTATTTTTATGGACTGGTCGAGAAACTAATAGTCCTGACGCAAGAAGGCGGAAATCAGAAGACCACTAGGTTTGCGATGATACTTCTATTGTCCGAACACAAGGAGACGAAAATAAAATGGTCTCACACCAAAGTGGTAAGTAGGTAAAGTAGTTCACACAAATTGTGAATGCGAAATATATATGAATGTCCAGACAAAGGGTGTGAACAAATCACTAGACAGTCTTAACATGAATGGCTAATTATAATGAAGTATCGATCCATATATACATATAACAGACATGTCAACAACCAAACATATAATATGGATATATGTCACCAAGCAACGGACTGTCAACAAACACTCATATTATATATAATATAATATAAGGAGAATATACATTGTTAAAGGAGACAAGTTCATACAAGTGAAATGGTCACAGACTAAGCGAGCAAACAGAAAGAGAGACCAACATACACACACACACATAAATATATATATATATGTGGATACATATCAAACACAATAATATCTCAATTATTTAAAGTACATTCGCCCAGCAAATTCATTTATGACAAAGAATAACAAACTAAAATTGCCTTTTAAGACATTCCACTAACAAGAAGACCAGATGATATTACAAAAAGGAATTTGCATGATCGAAATACATGAGCGGGTCAACATGCACATGTAACGGCAAAAGACAATGGTGTATGGTAATAGAATTGTAGCAGTGGGTAATATGAAAAAATTATTAGCCACAGCACTCATCACTGAATATTTGACACTGACCCTCACTTGTTTAGCTGAAGGCTTCCGGTCAAGCATCCACGCCATCCAGCACACCGTCATGTTACGTTTGTTCATTTGTACACGATCCCTAGCTAGGTAAGTATTCATCCTCACACTTCGATTTGGTCCCGAAACATACTTCGTGATATGAACGATCAATTCTGATGTTTTACTTTGCCTTTGGACTACATGGAACAAATACTATAGGGGTTGTGGGTATTAGATTTTGCGCTAGTATACTTCGTACTATCCGTGAACGTCAGTACCGTTAGCCTCTAAGTAATCACTGATTGTTGACTCGATACACAAATTTAGGTGAAATACGTCTATCACATATCAAACAAATCTTCTGTATTGTGCTTCTATATCTCCCTTTCATGTTTCCATGCTGTTTCACGGGCACCGTTCAATTTAATCCACCTCTCCACTATTCGGTACTCTGTCAGATGACATACAAATTAATATGTGAATCTATGCGCGTCGGTGGCACAGTGGTTAGGAACCTCGCCTACCATGCACATGGTCCGGGGTTCGAGCCCACGCCGACGCACACCTGATATCTATGGTCGGCCTGCGAATTTTGGGCTACCGATATCCACGCTGAAAATTCCATACTTGTACCAAAAATCCGGTGTGGAATCAAGCTGTATATCAAAAAAAAAAAAAAATAAAATATTGTGAGTAGCAAGCGCCACTCACACCTTTTTCCCTCTCCGATATTAAAGAAATTTTTTTTAATACCCTCAGATATAGGGTAAGAGCTACTTATTTAGAGCATGCGCCTGAAGACGAACTTAGGGTTTATACAACAGCAATTTAAAGCAGTTACCCTGATAAGCTCATACGAAACACATAGCCAAGTAAAGTCACTTTATATACGACTACAATTCAAAGGTGATTTATTAAGTGAAATAATGTCCATCAAGCTGAGTAAATAGATTCAAAGAATATTTAATGTCGGAAAGCTGCTGCTAATAATTTCCATACAACAGACTGTGATTCGGAAACAAAAAGAAGAAGTATGCAGGCTAGTGAGCCTCCTATGAGTTTCACGCGTAGGCAGTTGACCGTGTTCGTATGTAGACTTATTCTATAGTTGTGTAAGTATATCTACGTCGAAAGCTTGAGGTGAGTTACATCCATTATCTCTTTCACGAGCTTGTTTAGGCTAGATTGCTTTCTTTGTGCTTACGTCTTGGTCGTTAGATGAAAGTCCCTAGTTTCCGGTAACATTCTGCGTATTTCGTCCCGCCACTCAACTGTCATAGCTTTAGTTGTTTCCAGAGTTAATGGTGCTAGGGCCGGTTGTTTATGAGTTGTATTTCACGCTGTATTAAGGCCATGTCTTTGCTGTGAATTGAAGTAATCCTCTCAACCTTTAGTCGTCCAGTTTTATCGAAGGAAGATAGTATTAGTAGAATTAATAATAGGAATCGCTAGTCTACATCATATAGAATTGAAAAGCAAAGCGTATAAACAGATATGCAATGAATTGGGATAATTAAACTGTGTACATGTATGTAAATGCAATGGATGGACTTATATATCACGTTCTGTTAAAATTTCGCCTGGAAAGTTTTTTGTCAATAGGTTTAAATAAAATTGTGTTATATGTTATCTGGATTGATGGGAATTCTCATTTCCTGGCTGGTTATTGTTGGTATCCACGTCATGTGATCTGACAGTGACACACTCTTAGCATACTGGTTGCGGTGGTCAGTGTTTCAGGCAGACTGCGTCAAAATATCGCAATAATGTGCAAGATGCGGTAGTTGGAAAGTAGTCATTTACACAAATAGCTTACTCCATGTAGAAGCTGCACCTTTCGGCATAGTATCATTCAATGCAGACTTTACTTCTCAGAATATCAATACAGACTGTTTTCGTTTGAAGAACAGTACTTATTGACAAAAAAACGGCATCAGTACATGGAAATCACCCATAAATGCTGACAGAATCTTCTGTGGGAACCTAAGTTATCATGTAGTTGGACAGGAATTATCGTAAGTTGAAAGGTTATCTCTAAGTGGAATTAATATATATTTGCACTAATTGGTGCAGTGCAATATGAGTTATGTGGATTCAGTGTATAAAAGATACCTCTATTAATATTGTACCATTGTGTGCTTAGCTGACTGCTAAGCTAGCAAATGTAGGTGGTCCTCATGATTATGGCACGTGCAGTGCATCACAGAAG